TATTCAACTCAATTCAATTCTCTTTTTTTTCCAAAACTTGAAAAAGTCATGTAAAACAAATGTGACAATTTATACCTTTGTATATTCCTCTGCACTCACCACAGACTGAAGTCTGAAAACACCAATGGTGATGTTTGCAGGGATATCTCAAGCATGTTGGTTGGAGTGTGTTGTGACATCACTCTGGAGGAGGCACTGGGGCAGGCTGCTGGCAGCACATACAGCACAGATTATCAGTAACAGAACATGACAAGAGCTGAGAGGCTTTGAGCTCTCCACTGCTCTAGCTTATGGGCATTCTACCCACACATTGTACAAGTGCTATGTGTGAAGAACTTTAGCTAGTAAGGAAGTGATGTTTATTTATATGGCGCAATTTACAGACGAAGGTCAACCAAACCGCTACATTCAGAGTTCAGATATTGCTCCATTCTCTCCTCACACTGATGATGGAAGTGAGACGCCGAACACACTGGTGCATCAAAGCCTCAAACAACACCATCCATTCACTCCATTACATTCATACCTATTGTACATATTTTCCGTGGTCGCGGAAACTGGAACACCTGGAAGAACAATACGCAGACACGGGGAGAACATGCAAACTCCACACAGTAAGGCCTGGAGATGGACTGTGAAACACAAGTACTGCTGCCCCACTGCGTCATACGAGCCATAAGTCTCTATTGTTGAAAAATTCACATTTTGTCAAGTTAAAATTAAATATATGTTTTTTTATGCAGCTTGTTGCACATTGTACATTTTTGGCAAGACGTCATTGTGTTGCCTTAAATATTGTACAGTAGAATTGTCTGTTGTAAATCGACAGTTACATGAGGGCTGTGTGAAAAATACTCACACAGTAATCTTTTGACTTTCTAATTAGCAAAGATGAAAGAGGCACCAGTTACCTTGCAACATTTGTGCGTTGAGTAATATGGAGCTTGATCTATCCAGTACATTAAAGACTTACAAACCTTAAAATGATACAAATGTTCTGTGAGTAGAGGGAGCAGCTGAAGATACAGTGTTAATGAGCGACTGCCACATGTTGATCTGTGCTTTCAAGGCCACGGACAAATACACAGTCCAGATTACATGCAGCTACGTCACCATTTTAAATATGACACTAACGATTATAGACACTGTCTCTATGACCAACCGATGACAGCAAAGTCTCTCCATCATAAAGGTAAGTTAGTGTGACATAAAAAGCACATTTGTATGATCTTTATAACACTACTATACTATATTGTGGCCTGAATGATCCCAAAATAAACAATCTGTGTAAAGTCCTTTTTTTTTGCTTGTGCATAGATCAGTGCTCAGTTTTGACTCAGCAATTTTTGTGCAGTTCAGACAATGTTTAAGTCAGAGGCCTCTTATAGGTGCTGCAAGAATGTTTAAAGTGGGCGGAAAAATAATAATAGGAAACCCTTGAAAATTGATTTTACATAACACATCCAATAGGTCAATACGTGTAAAAGTAACTAGATATTCACAATTACTAAATAATATTGTGATTTGTAATATGTTATGCAAAGTCAGTCAAGTGTTTTCCCCAAAGATATTACCACATTTACCAAAAAGGAATAATCTTAACTCTTTTTCTGTGAGCCAGTGTTCCTTAAAAGACCTCAAGTTTCAAAGAACCAGTCTTATCAACCAATCAGTATGAGCTATTTCCCCCAAAAACTGCAATTTCTGTGGAACTTTAAAGTGTGCGGCCGCTTATTGGGTTACAAAAAATATTGGGTTTCATAAAACGCACCGAAGCAGATCAAACCAAGCTTTAACTACCGACTTTTCTGTCCAAAAATCTGTCATCATTGTCTCATTGCTGTATTCCCTTTGGTCTTAATATGAACAACAGGTTTTACGTGGTGCCTTTCATTAAGAGCATGAAACAACAGTTTTTGAGGATCAGTGCATAGGTTAGTGTATATCTGCAGACAGGTCCAGGAATGTCCTCATTTCGTGGGACAGTCTGGAGCACAGAGCCAAGACTCAGGTTTCATCACAACATCAGCTCTGTGCCCTCCACCACTCACCTCAGGCCGGTCGACAAATCCTACTTGATAAAAACATTTCCATCTTGAGGGCCTTAAAGGTGTATAAAATGTCCTTATAAATATTGAGGTAGCATCGTGTAGCAGGGCTTTTGATTGCCATCTGAAAAACATTGCCAAAAATATAAGAAAATATACATCTCCAAATCTGCAGACTTGGAGATTCTTATCCATGTAATTGTCTCCAGTAAGTTGGATCACTGTGATAGCCTACTCACAGGTCTCTTCAAACCAGCATCCATCCATCTTCTTCCCCTTAATCCATCTCTGGGTCAGGGGGGTGACAGTCAGAGCTGCACCCAGTACACATAGCACCATCCCCTCACTCATCCTCCTGCAGGTGGTGAGTCCACAGGTGCCTTGATTATTCAGCGGGGGCTTCAGGCAAAGTAAGGTTAAGGGTCTTGCCCAAGGACACAATGACAGCAGTCATCAGTGGGAGTCGTGAAGTAGGTCTTGTGGTGGGCTCGAACCCATGACCTTCAGGTTCTAAGGCCAACGCTCTACCAACTGAGACAGTGTCACCCCTCCAAACCAGCAGTATATTAAAAATGCTGCAGCTCGAGTCGTGATAAAAACCAGGAAGTATAATCACATTAGTCCAGCTCTAAGATCTCTGCACTGGCTTCCTGTGGCTCTGAGAATAGACTTTAAATCAGCTCTACTTCTGTACAAGTCAGTGGCATGGGTAGATGAGGTGGCAATTGACACCCCAGACAAAGTCCTTGCCACCCCCAATACCACCCCGCTGAAAGTATCGCACTTTTGGAATTTTATGAACATTGCCAAAGAAAAATGTCTCTAATTTCTTCTCATTGGTTAAACTGACGCAGCTTTCTCATTTTACTGCGAATGTAAAGGAAAGGGTATCTGCATAAGGTTTTATGCATTTAACTTGTGAAACTGACTGACAGCAATCTAGTTCGCTTAAAAGGGCAAAAGGTTCATTTACAAAAGCAGATACCTCCGTTTTCAATTATTTGCCAAGTTGTTCAACATTTGTTGACACAAGTAAAACAAAATAAGAAGTAACTTTATATGTCTGATCCACTAATATCGGTCCATGCCTTGATTGCCTCTGTCTACTATTCATTTACATTTCATTCTACATCATTCAATCAAAATGTTTATTCAAAAAAACAACCAAAAATAAACTAAGTTTTGCAATGTTTTGCTTGGATGGAGGAACTGTCCGCCCTCCCCCATTCAATACAGAGACAGACAATGTGGAACAAATACGTCATAAAGAACCAGAAGTAATCCAGCTTGTATCCCTGTGTAACCGCAACCCTGGTTGGGAAACATTACCCAGTCAAGAAGATTCACAAAGTAGAGCAACAGAAAACAGCAACATAAGAACAAGGAGATAAAAAGTTCAGTGAGGGAAAAAACAGAAGATCAGAGCCAACAAACCAAATGAGAAAAAACCCTAGAGCAAAGACACTTTTTCAAAGGAAAATAACAAGCAAATTATTTTGTTGGTGTTGTTGTTTTAGTTGTTTCATTAGTTTCATATTCATCCATAATCCATTATCCGTTGCCATGGTTGCAGCTTCCCTTTCTCTCCTTCCCCCAGCTCAGGGGTGGTCTTCCCTCAGGTCTCCTCCTGGTGGGACAGGCGTCCATCTAGTCAACAATGGAACTTGGGAGAGGCACGATTAATTTCAGAGACCGATCTTGATGCTTTGAGTTTCAATATAAAATGGTCAAAACAGTGCCAAACTTGTATTTGAAAGTCAGATCCTGTCAAATCTTTGAAGCTGAACAGGACAGGTCCTGGGTGGTGCTGTGATGGGAGACCTCTGGGAACGCAGAGGTGCCACAGTGGGGTGGCTAATGATGTGTCCTTAGACAAGACACTTTACCTACCCTGTAAAAAGTGTTGCTTTAATCAGAAACAAAAAAAATATCATAAGAGGTTCCATCAGCCTTTTTGAGTACTATCAACTTTAGCTCTTTAGTAATAAAGAATATTAAAATAAATTTGACAGTATGCAAAACTATTACTTTGAAGTGATTGATTTACTTAACATTTGTGTTTTGTTTCAAAGCAAAACTAACTTGGAGATGATTCATTTACATAATCATTTTGTGTCCTTTCAAAGCAAAACTACAATTCGTAAAAGATCAATTTACTTAATATTTTTGTGTTCATTTACAGTGTGACTTTAACTTCCACTCGGAGGAAGTTTGTTAGATCTTGTTAATACTGCATAGTAAGATACTGAACTCTTGAACTCACACGCCGAGAAAATTAAAAATCACACCTCAATTACAACTTAGTTTCAAGAAACCACAGTGACCTTTACACGGCATCTGATCGGTAATAATGAAATACGAAACCCAGAACCTTTACGGCTGCTTTGGCTTAGCCCTGTCAATTACAGTTGATAAAAATAAATACAATTACTTATTTGGTCAAATTAGTTGATTCAAACTGTAGCTCAAGTATTTTGCTTTAGGACTTGCTTCATATTCACTCTTAAAATGAATGCTCAAATATAGAATTTTTAAGAAGTTTATATTTTTCTCTGCAATGCATTCTGGGTAGTGTCACCGCTTCAGCACATTTTGTTGGGTATCATGAAAAGCGCTATCTAAAACCGCTGCATTATTATTTTCATTATTATACTGTGAGTGATCAAAACCTCACATAACCCGTACCTCCAATTAAAGCTATTTTATCTTAGCTTCAACAATAAATATTTGAACTTCTGAATTTAATTTTCTCTTTCTCTACCCGTCTAAGTTCTTCCACACATTTGATCTAAGTCTATCATTTACAGTAATAGTCTGGCAGCAGTGGTTTATAGTGTGGCAGAGATGCACAGGTCTAATTACAACACACCCTTGTTAAATTACACACTTCGAGAGCTTTTCCCACATGATAATAATTACAGATATTTATTTATGTAAAACTCGGATCTCAAAATGGTAATTTCATTTCTCACCAGAGAAGAGTAATGTTTATGTCTATTGTGATTTTAAATGGTCCCATCCGTAAACAGAGAGTGTGTCATTGGATTGCATGGAAAGTTCTATAATATTATATACTTAATCTATCTAGCATGTTTTTATTGTGTGTGGCAGGTCAAGGAGTCGCACCATAAAATGTACAGTACATGTTGTGTAGTGTGTTTTGATAAAATTGGAAGAAAAATCATGAATAATTGTGAAATAAAAGAGAGAATACATTTCACCGTTGTTCAAGACCAATGGAAAATGTGCAAATATTACGGTTTCCTCTATTGCTACAACACAAAACCCAGTACTCTAAACCAAATGACCAATTGCCTAAACACATTTATTAAAACTTCCCCCCACTTTTCACAACCATAAACACAATTCGGGCGTTCTGCTCTCCCAAAATTTCATCCACTGAGCGGCGCTGTGATCAAAAAATGACACCGTTTGTTGCCCAGTTCACTTCCGGTTGATTTCATACAATGGCGAATATGGCTCACGAAAACATTTCACGATTGACAGTGCCTGAATTGCGTGAAAGGTTGAAGCGAAAGGGTATTTGCAGTGTGGGAAAACGAAAGGAGGAATTGTTGTTGCTAGTTCAACGAGCGGATGGTGTTTATGAAGATTTAGAAGAAGATGACAGCGAGCAGAGTGAACGAAAACGGCTGTGTGTGCGAGTGACAGATGGTAACAATGAGAATGAAGTTCAGCTAAGAGGGAAGAATGTGAATTGGACGGATGATTTGCGCGATATGCCACTAGTTAGAGACGGGAATGTATTTGCATACAGAAAATGACGAAAACACTCAACCATTTAGAGAAAATGCGCCGGGCAGAGAGAACCGGAAGTTGCGAAGGCAAGTGTTACCCATAATGCAACGCAAAATTCAGTCGCTCCCCCGCCCATCGGATGGAATTTTGGGAGAGCAGAACGCCCGAATTCTCCTGTAGACACTGTTCACAAAACACATGCCCTTTTTCTCAAAACTCTAAACACATTTTTCTTTTGCTAAAACACTTTTTTAATGTATCTCTGCTCCTCTAATCATTGTCAGGCTTATATGATGAAAAATGTCTCCCACTGTCAGCAAAACCTGAACACAATGAACATACCTGGTGTCATTCAGAAAACACAACCACTCAGAACTGAAAACTCCTGTTGCAAATGATGTGACCACAACTTTATAAGTCAGTGCAGTTTGATGAAGGTTCAAAACGAAAATGGATAATCAAGGCAGAAGAAGAGGAGTTCGGGAGTTCGGGAGAGGAGCAGGCGGAGGAGGGAGAGGAGCAGGCGGAGGAGGGAGAGGAGCAGGCCGAGGAGGGAGAGGAGCAGGCCGAGGAGGGAGAGGAGCAGGCCGAGGAGGGAGAGGAGCAGGCCGAGGAGGGAGAGGAGCAGGCAGAGGAGGGAGAGGAGCAGGCCGAGGAGGGAGAGGAGCAGGCCGAGGAGGGAGAGGAGCAGGCCGAGGAGGGAGCGGAGCAGGCCGAGGAGGGAGCGGAGCAGGCCGAGGAGGGAGAGGAGCTGGCCGAGGAGGGAGAGGAGCAGGCCGAGGTGGGAGAGGAGCAGGCGGAGGTGGGAGAGGAGCAGGCCGAGGTGGGAGAGGAGGAGGCGGAGGTGGGAGAGGAGCAGGCGGAGGTGGGAGAGGAGCAGGCGGAGGAGGGAGAGGAGCAGGCCGAGGTGGGAGAGGAGCAGGCCGAGGTGGGAGAGGAGCAGGCCGAGGTGGGAGAGGAGCAGGCCGAGGTGGGAGAGGAGCAGGCGGAGGTGGGAGAGGAGCAGGCCGAGGTGGGAGAGGAGGAGGCGGAGGTGGGAGAGGAGCAGGCGGAGGTGGGAGAGGAGCAGGCGGAGGTGGGAGAGGAGCAGGCGGAGGAGGGAGAGGAGCAGGCCGAGGAGGGAGAGGAGTAGGCCGAGGTGGGAGAGGAGCAGGCCGAGGTGGGAGAGGAGCAGGCCGAGGAGGGACACACCCGGACTATTGTGTTTCCAATTGTTACTGTACTGCAGTATCTATTGTGTCTAATGGATCCTCTATAGAATCTACAGTACCCATGTTTGCATTGAGTTTTGATATAACTGCATTTTCTGCGTTATATAACTATAGGGCTGGAAAGCGGAAGTGCGAGATTTTGCGAGATTTCCACCCGTGGATACAAACAAACCACACGTGCCAGTTGTATGGTGCGGAGATCGCCGACTTCTTCCTCGTTAATGGACTTTCCTGTGTTATTTTGGACACATTTCGTCTCTGGGACAGAAAGACTGAGTGAACGGTCGGAATTAGCTGTGAACTGACCATATCCTGACGTTTCCATATGACGGGGAAATGAGAAAGGCACAGGGCCGTGTTCAAACATACAGTCTATGGTTCAAACTCATTGTATTTTAATCCACTATCACGCATCAGAAAGAAAATATAGAAACACTATTCCTATGCAAATAAACTGATGTTGTCCCTTACAGCTATCTTTGCTGCTTTGGTTATGAGCCATGAATGATCAGTTTTCTATCTGTTCATCAGCTCATTCTCCACTTCACACTCACTGCGGCACGGTGGCTGAGTGGATAGCACTCTCGCCTCTCAGCAAGAAGGTCCTGGGTTCAAATCCCGGCCGGACCAGGGCCTTTCTGAGTGGAGTTTGCATGTTCTCCCCGTGTCTGCGTAGGTTTCCTCCGGGTACTCCGGTTTCCCCTACCACTAAAAATATGTCCAATAGTTCTGGCATGTGCCTCCTGTACTGGCCCCGCTCCCATCTCTGTGTGGAGTGAGAGACAAATGCCCAAAATTAACAATTGTAAACCGCTTTGAGACTCAGATCTGCAGTGAAAAGGCGGTATATAAATAAAAACTTACTTACTTACTTACTTACTGCAGCTTCACATTGGGCCTTTTTCCTTTTTGCTGTGCTGTCAAAAATAATATGATGTAGTTGGGTTACCTATTCATTTAATACGAATGATTGTCCGTTTTCTGTTATATTTGAACATTTGTTAAATGTTATTTAATACGTGTTAATCTGTTCCTCCTTTATCTCTAAAATAAATAAATGTTTGAGAGACAATATTTATCCTGTGTGACATCAATAAAGTTTCTTATCTTAAAATACAAGCCACAATCAAAGGCTTGGCCGCGCACTACAGGTTAGCATTAGCTACAAGTTAGCTTGAATACATGTTCAAGTTAACTGTCTCTGAAATCAGACAAAATATTTTATCAGAACTGCATAGCTTTTCCCACAGCTTCAGTTGGTCTTTGGGAAACCTAAACCTAAACTGTGATGATTACAGCCGAAAACAAAGCAGAGCATTATGCACCATTCACTTAAACCGCCTCTTCGAACAGCTGACGGTTTGTTTGTATCCGAGCAATGAACCGGAAGTGCTTCTGGGACGAGACTTTCCAGCCCTATTCCCATGATATGCGCAAATCTATAGAGGGATCCTACGGTCACGTGACTAGCAGCCACGGCAGCCATACTGGAGGACAACCTCGGCGAGTAACAGCCCTGCTAGCTATCTATAACTGGACGTTCAAAACTAGAACTCTCTCGAACTACATGAAAACTGAACAGAGAATTCGAAACTTCAGCAGTTAGTGACCCAAATATATACTCAACCTAAAGTCATGAATCAGATCCTCTGGAAACGCGTCCTAAAATGTATTATTAACGTTTATCGTTACATCCAGGTTTACTGCGGTCGCATTAAAACAGTGTTTTTTCATGAAAACGTGAACAGAAAATTCTGAAAACCTCTGTGCACGTGTATTAAGAATGTATATGTATAATGTATTCTCCGATTAACATTTAATGTGTTTATTGTTACACCATGGATCTATGTGTGGCTACACTGCAGTGGAAATAATGAGATTACATTCAAATCAATGGAGCTTTCTGCGTCTACTGTGAGGAGCCGTATATTTTATTAATAAATACTAGTACGGGGCACCCTCGAGCACGGCTCAGTCGTTCACATGTCTGCTGGCCTTCGGTAAGTCAGATACCCTGTGAACCGGGTGAGGTCCTGTGTGAGACCAAATATATAACAGCTATGCTACAAGCTAAGCTACAGTCTATGGAGCAACCCCACGTTGCAGTCAGACAGATATGTTTTATCCTTAAACTTCTGTTTGTTTCGGAATAACACTAAATCCGCCATCAAATTGATTTCACTTAGCAGAAATGAAATGATCCCAGCATATTCGGGCGCTCTGGGGGCTACTAGTTTTTTGTTGTTGCTTATGGTTGTGCCATTTCTCTCTCGTTTCTTTGAGATTTCTTCTGTTTTTGAGCCGTGTGAAGTAAGGACGACTGGCAGTCGGTAACACAACTTATTTTCCCTGTCTCTCCTTTTGCTGCAGCCAAAAACGGCAAACATTTTGAACATGTGTATGCGGTCCCGGGTGCACGCCACTATCATACAGCGTTTGCTTGTCCTCCAGTATGGCGGATGCCCCGCGAGTTCGAGGCATCGTGACGTCACGTGAGATATCTCTATAGTAAAGGCCCAAAACATATTTGAGAATTAAAAAAGTGTTGCTCAAATGCATCCTGGCAGTTGTGAAACTGTAAAAAAGAACAGTCTCACATTCTGAAAATTGTGTTTTCAATTGTTTTGGTGATGTGGTTAATCATGCTCATAGTGTTCACATTTTTGCAGACCATGAGAGGTATTTTGGTGTGATGGGTTGGTTTTAAGAATATGAGTCACTGTTTTGGTGTGATGAGTCGGTTTTGAAAAGAGACTGTGTTGTTGTGTGTACGTAGCTTTAGACAAGAGGTTTGTGTTTAGAGTTTTGAGAAAAGGGAGGGCATTATCGGTGCAGCGTGCGCAGTGATGCGGTCGCTGTATCGGACCGTTGTGGTAAAGAGGGAGCTGAGCCGAAAGGCAAAGCTCTCGATTTACCGGTCAATCTTCGTTCCCTCCCTCACCTATGGTCATGAGCTTTGGGTAATGACCGAAAGAACGAGATCGCGGATACAAGCGGTCGAAATGAGCTTCCTCCGCAGAGTGGCTGGGCGCTCCCTTAGAGATAGGGTGAGGAGCTCGGTCACACGGGAGGAGCTCGGAGTAGAGCCGCTGCTTCTCCACGTCGAGAGGAACCAGTTGAGGTGGCTCGGGAATCTGTTCCGGATGCCTCCTGGACGCCTCCCTGGGGAGGTGTTCCGGGCACGTCCCACCGGGAGGAGGCCCCGCGGAAGACCTAGGACACGCTGGAGGGACTATGTCTCTCAGCTGGCCTGGGAACGCCTTGGGGTCCCCCCGGACGAGCTGGAGGAGGTGTGTGTGGATAGGGAAGTCTGGGCGTCTCTGCTTAGACTGCTGCCCCCGCGACCCGGCAACGGATAAAGCGGAAGAAAATGGATGGATGGATGGAGGGCATTATCGTGAAATGTGTTTAAGCAATAGAGAAAAACTGTAAAATAACTTCCCACATGATGCAAAAGTGTGTATACATCTTTACACTATTTTTTAATTTGAATCTTTTTTTCACATCACCACAGATTACAGATTCACCAAATGTGTGTGCATATCTTTGTGACACTGCCCAGGCAGCTGTGTAAAGCTTATGAATGGGTCCAACATTGCATTAACAAAAATATTACCATGTCTCAATCAGAGAAAGTTAATTTTTTACATATGGTCTCATTCTGCTAATATGTACGGTACGGTTAGGGTTAGCATGGTTTGAAAATCGATTGGTCCAAGCAAAATGTTTATATTAATCCAATCCCCTCCCATCCATTAAGCCCCATACTACAATACAATAGAGGAGAGGAGAAAAAGTATTTGTAAAGGCCATTTAATACTGAATTTCCCCCAATGTGGGACGAATAGAGGATCTCTTAAAGAAAATATGGGTTAAAAAAGGAAAACAAAAACTAATTATTTGTGTTATTAGTGCACCTATTCTTAGAAAATAACAATATATATATATCTTTCTTCAGCTTTCTTCAAGGATTGAATGTTAAAGTGTTAGTAGTTGACTGTGTTTGATTATTTTTATTTTTTGGCTGAACTGAGAAAATATAAAATAATGATCAAAAAGCCGATGAAAGATCAAGATGGATGAAGTCGATGAGGAGACGAAAGAACACCAGAGAAACACCAGTATAAATATTATCATGTCCTTCACAAGGGTAATACAATAGAGAAAGTGCCAAAATGGAAAATAATGAAATTCTAAATCGAAATAAAAGAACAGAATATGCATAACAATAACATTTTAGAAGGAAAGTTGGTGTGGGTATTTGCTGGTGAGCTTTTGGGGCACTGTGGTCATGGACAGAGAGAGAGAGAGAGAGAGAGAGAGAGAGAGAGAGAGAAACGAGGCCAAACGAGGACACACACATGTAGGTCATGGCTCGTGCTTGAAAACCCAATTTTGTTTTTCTATGAAAGCAGTAAAAAAAACGCTAGTTAGAGTGAAAATGACACAAGTCGTGACCTAATACCAGGAGTGCACTGCCAGAAGCACATGGAAAAGCAAAAATAGTCTTTGAAATTGAACTTTCTGCATCCTGAACCAATCTAGAGCACACAAAAAGTCCACGTTGCACCAAACTGTGAAGGACACACAGCAGTTAGCTGTAATATGAGCCGCCGCAGTGAGGTAATGTGGTAATTAAGGCAATGTGGATGTAATTATGATCTATCCAAAAGTATAAAAACTATTAGGTGATAATTACAAAGTTGGCCAGAATATACAAAACAAGATATTGCACAAAAAAACAGAAGAAAAAAAAGATGTGGCTCTGGTTTAATTTATTTATTCCAAGTGAAACTATTTTCCCAGTGAATATAGCAGTGGAATGTGACTATTTTGAATGCGATGCAAAGCATTGGTGACTGTCCTGTGTTTTATTTACTTTTTATTAAACAGCTAAGTCATTTAAGCTAAGTTAAATGTA